ACAAGGCCACAGACTCACAGCTTGACTTTGACGAAATCACCCCCCATTTCTGAGCCTATTTTCTTTTCAAGTGAGGTGGCTGGACTACTTGCCTTTCCTGACTTTTCTGGTTCTTATATTCTAACGTCCTATACACTCTCAATGTAGGAAAAAATTAATCTTTTGAGTGGATATTGCTCCGGGTGGGAGCCAGAGACAAGTCTTAGGTGACTCTGGACAAGTCTTTCACATTCTCTGTGCTTAGATTTCCCTGTGTATTCATGTGTATAAAGGGAAGAATGACCCCTACCTGGACCTGTCTACCTCGTGGGCTACTTAGTAGGTAAAATGGAATGGTAAATGGAAGTAAAAGTACGAGTTGACAATTGTAGCAGAAAAGGTGGAGTACCACTGCTGAGATCCCACACTTCAGGATCACGGCACTTGTTCCCCAACTACTGAAGTGTTGGTTGCTAAGGGCTCCTAGCTGGTTGATGACTGGTTCATGGGAGTGGGTGTGGGGATGAAGACCTGGACCTCTTGCCTCCATTTCTCCCTCTGCCCCAACCCTGCCTCCCTTACACCTCATAGATGTTCCCAGAAGCACTCACCAATAAGCCGTCAGTATGCAAATCTCAGTGTCTCAGTCTATTTCCTGGAGTACCCAATCTACGACAGCATTACTACAGCATTTCTAAAAAATAATTCAGCCCGGCCAGCGCGGTTTAGTGGTTCAGTATCAACCTATGAACCAGGAGGTCACGGTTCAATTCAAGGTCAGAGCACATGCCCTGGTTGCAGGCTCGATCCCCAGTGTGGAGTGTGCAGGAGGCAGCCAATCAATGATTCTTTCTCATCATTGATGTTTCTATCTCTCTCTCCTTCTCCTTTCCTCTCTCTGAAAGCAATAAAAATATTTTTTTAAAAATAAAAAATAATTCAGATATATTTTATTTGAGCCACACTGCTAAAAGCACATGACTTCTTAGCCAGTTCCAGTACAAAAATCCATCATTGGGATAGAACTCTCCAGGTGACATAACAATGTCTACGAGTACTGGATTCTGTTTCAGTTGTTATTCTGACTCATGGGCTGCTTATCATACTAGAGCGATTATGTCAAGGACATGGGCTTCACTCAGTTGATGTCTCCATTATAAGATCACAATGTCCCCCTGACTCTGGACAATGTCCTGCAAATACGAGCTGTTAGTCATAAGCTATTTCTATGTCAGGGATAAAGGGTGAACTGGTATTAATGAGATTGAAAGGTTTTTACCTGGAAACTGACCCTATAGTACCATTAATCATGCTGATATTCCCATTGCTCAATAACTACTCTATCCTTTTGGAAGGGATTGAGGATGAATTCACTTAGTGCTGAATTCTGCTTGCTAGCAAACTATATGAGAGGGGTTTCTGCTGGAGGATCCTACTATTTATGCAAAAACAAGACCCCACCTCTGACAGGAAATCCACGCGCAGCCTTCTGCAGCTCCTGAAGCTTCCCTGAGACTGTATCTCTTCCTTAACGTCTAGACAACAGGATGGCAGCCATTTATAAGACCGCTTCCTCCCTATTCTAACACAGGACGACATGGTCCCAAAGCAGGAACAGGTGATGGGGGTAGGGTGGTTGCTGTAAAGTGTCTTTCTTTCCCTTCTCCCCACATCCTCTGGGAGGGCAACCAGCAAACTAGCTCAGGTGCGCAGATCCAGTCAGACAGAGGGATCATTTACTCAGGATCTTTCCTCCAGGCCTAGATGGGGCAGCATCTCAATCATATAGGGCACACGGCAAACCTCACCATCACCCGCAAAAATTCACTACAGTTCAACAAGCATTTTTAAAAGTAAGTAGAGAAAACAGATAGAAATCTGAAGGTGGCTCTGGGTAAAATAATTTAGTGTACAAAAAAATCACAGCAGACTCCACCCCCACCCCACCCCCCTTGGCCTAGTTCCTGTGCACCATTTTCCAAAGCCAAGCTAGTACTACTTAATTCTATTTGAATCTGCTGGAAAACATTGTGTGCCTCTGCTCAGCAGTATCTCGCTGGATTTGTGGATGTCCTTTCTCACCCCTTTGAACTTCTTTCTATACCTACCTTCTTATCTTTGTGAACTGCCTTAGAGAACCCAATTTCCCTTCCCTTATATCCTCCCCAGTTGCTCTCTCACTCTTCCTGCTGTTACTCTCTCCTGACAACACCATCCTGAACCCTTTGAACCCCACAGCTTCCTCTTACCAAACACAGAGATTGAATTTGACAGTGGGAATTATTTTGTTGAGTGGTTGGTGTGCTTAAACAAAACCTGGCACAGAAGTGTTCTAAATGTTGGGGTTTGGAGTTCTAAGTTAGTCTTGGTGATAGAGTCAGAAAAATTCATCCAGAAGTGTTAGCTGAGGTGTAAATGAGCTGAAGGGTACATTTGCATGGCAATATCTGAGAAGGTTGCAAGACTGAACCTTTTTTCTTTTCTTTCTTTTAAAAAAATGGATCTAGAGTAAATGAGTCATCTAGAAAGGAAGGGGGAACTGAGGTTTCAGAGAATGATGGGAAAGGCTGTAGAGATACCAACCATTTCCAAGAGGCTCCAGTTTCCCAAATCTTGCCCAGCATTTTGTTTTTGTTTCTTAATTCTCACCAGATGATATTTTTCCCCATTGATTTTTAGAGAGAAATGGAAGGGAGGGAGGGGGGGAAGGAGGAAGAAAGAGAGGGAGAGGGAGAGAGAGAGAGAGAGAGAGAGAGAGAGAGAGAGAGAGAGAGAGAAACATCAATGTGAGAAAGACACATCAATTGGTTACTTCCCCCACACGCTCCGATTAGGGCCAGGGATCTAACCTGCAACCCAGGTACATACCCTTGACTGGGAATCAAACCCAAGACCCTTCAGTGTGCAGGCAGATGCTCTAACCACTGAGAACACCAGCCAAGGCTTGTCCAACGTTCTTGAACCTGGACTCTACTCCTAAGTAGCCCCATAATTCATAGCATGGCTTTTCAATCCAATCACCCGCTACAGTGCTCTAGCACTCCCACTCTCAACCAGATATCTCTAACTTCATGCTACTATGACATCTCTGAGTACCTCTAGATCTTAGCCCTGTGCCCCTGGACTCCAAGGCCCGCCCCATCTTTCCCTGTCCATCTTCTGCAGCGGTTCTCAACCTGTGGGTCGCGACCCCTTTGGTGGTCGAACGACCCTTTCACAGGGGTCGCCTAAGACCATCCTGCATATCAGATATTTACATTACGATTCATAACAGTAGCAACATTACAGTTATGAAGTAGCAACGAAAATAATTTTATGGTTGGGGGTCAGCACAACATGAGGAACTGTATTTAAAGGGCCAGAAGGTTGAGAAATCTGTCTAGTTTCCCAAAACTACATAATGGATGTCCCTGATCAGGTCCCTCGTCTACAGAGCACAAGTGGCTTCTTCAGAACCCAGCCTCCTGTGAGTGTGCTGATGCTTACGTATCCCAGGGCCATGGCTAGAGGGAAGGGATGGAACTCTATACTATTGAAGGCTTGTTCCTTTCAGTTTGTGTCTAGGGCTGTCACCTCCCCAACTGTCTAAGTAGATACTGGTTGACACCATAATTGACATAACTGATTTGGTCTTCCTGGATAAGATCTCAGTGAATTCCAGGTAATTTTTTGTTTGGGGATGACCATGATAATTTTTCACTTTCACACACCTGATCTCTGGCCATCCCAACTCACCTGCAGGCATACGTCAGTAAGGACACTGTACCATCTACCTATGAAGAACTGGTTTTATTCTTTGCTAAAAGACTCCATGCAAACCTGAGTAAGGGAAAGCAGGAATATTTCTTCATTTTCTTTTTGCTAATCTTCTAGGGCCTGGTCTTTCAGATAAAAGGGAATGAGCCAAGGAAACTACTGGGGTGAAGGAGAGAAGAAAAGCCTCAGAAGGGTTTTGGAGTAGGAGGGGATGAAGGATAAAGAACAGGCCGACTCCAATAAGTACCTGCTCTTTTCTTTCTTTCTCTACTCCTGACATCTAGTGGTTCCTCTAATGACCTTGTGCCTGAAGAGCTGGGGGACGAGGGACATATCCAGACTGCTCTCTAACCATATAAATCTACCTCACTCTTCTACTTTTTGTGGCTCTTAAGTTCCCAGGGTTGGGTTCAGAATCCCCAAACCTGTCTCTGAATCTCCAACAGGCATTAGTGTATATTTGTTTCTTTAAATTTTTATTTATTGATCTCAGAGAGAGAGAAAGGGAAAGGGATAGAGAGTTAGAAACATCGATGAGAGAGAAACATCGATCAGCTGCCTCCTGCACACTCCCTACTGGGGATGTGCCCGCAACCAAGGTACATGCCCTTGACCGGAATCGAACCTGGGACCCTTGAGTTCACAGGCTGCTGCTCTATCCACTGAGCCAAACCGGTTAGGGCTGTTTCTTTAAATTTTTATTTATTGATCTCAGAGATAGAGAAAGGGAGGGAGGGAGGGAAAGAGAGAAGCCAGCTATCCCCATTTATGCATCCATTGTTTTGATTCTTTTGTGCGCCCTGACCTGGGATGGAACCCGCAACCTTGGCATATCCCGACGATGCTCTAATCAACTGAGCTATTCGACCAGGGGGCATTAGTGTATATTTTAAAATGACATCCTGAGGAGAAAAATAGTCATACTGTCACGCTCTAGCCTATAGTTTGCAAAGCCTTTTCCAGGCAGGATCTCATCACGCCTCCTTGAATGTCCCCAGTTTTAGGCAGAGCCAAAGCCACTACCCCCACTCCGCAGATGAGGAAAAGCTGGGCTCACAGGGCCATGGTTTCCTGCTGTGAGCCACTAGCCGCGCAGCAGTCAACTAGCAGCAAGCCACCCCACAGGCCTCGCTTTCACAAAGTAAGAACCCCTTACTCCTTAGCATCGCCGACTGTCCCTCCTCCGGAGCCTGCCGGAAGTTGTAGTCCAATGTCCCGCAGCTTCAATGGGCTGGACTACAACGACCAGCATGCCCTGCGCTTCTTGCCCCGCCCCCCATCTTTTTCAGCCTCAGGCGCCGGGGAGGTTCGGTTGACCTGCTGACTGGGAACCAGAAATGGCAGCTACTCTGGGCAGCGGGGAGCGCTGGACGGAAGGTACCAGGTCCTGGTCTTAGGGTGGGACAGGGCAGGGTTCGGCAGAAATCAGGGATGGGGACCTTGAAGGTGCCCGAGGGCTGAGATTCTGGGCCTCAGGTGAAGAATGGAGGCCTATGAGAACATGTTGAGCCTGAGTAGGATTCCGGATGAGGTGGTGGACCGCCCAGGGTAGGATCCAGAAACCAGGAGCGCTGGCTCAGGCAGAGGAACCGACCGGCAGCCCAAAGTCATCCGTGACGACTTGTTGCCTCCAGCCCCCAGCCCCGCCCCGCCAGGGCCCCGCCCAGGCTCCGCGGCAGTCAGACCGCCTGCACCTGGGTGTCCGGAGGGCCAGCAGTCTGTGAGGTCTCCCGCAGCTTTCTTTCCCGGCCCTTATCCTCGCTACCAAACTGGGCTGCTGGATCCTTGGTCTCAGTTTGCTCTTGTCTCTGCAGCCCGCATCAAGGCCGACAGGCCGGTCTTTTCTATCCTACAGTCAGGCAGAGAGTATTGATCCGATGCCTATTTTGAATCCTGCATTATGCTTGCTGATCCCGCAGCAGGGACTTGACAGACGTGGGCCCCTGAGATCACAGAACTCTTTAGTTCACTAAGGGAGTATGACAGGTAAACAGCCAATTACAAAACAGGGCCAGTTAAGTCCTGGCTGTACACAGCAAGGTCTAGTTTTGGGAAGCACATTGACAAGGAACCCAACATGGCCTGGGTGTCAGAGGAGGCCTTATCGAGATAGTGTTACATATGATGACATAACGAATGGTTGGAGTTAGTCAGGCTGACCTAGTGGAAGAATGGTGCAGGCAGAAGGAACAGAGAAAAGAGAAAGCACTGCTGATCTGAAAGGAGTTTGGTGTAGCTAGAACATAGACTGGTAACGAGCATGTGGTGAGAGATGAGGCTAGAGAGGCACCTGAGCCCATGATAAGAAATTTGGCCAAGGAGCAGTGCATAGTCACTAGGGGAGGTCTTTTTTTTTTTTTAGTTTTATTCATTTCAAACGGGCCGGATCCGGCCCGCGGGCCATAGTTTGCCCACGGCTGGCATAGTCACTAGGGGGTGTTAAGCAGGAGAAGAATGTTTTAAAAACCTTTCCCATATCCTCCAGATGGGACATGAGTACTTGCCTTCCTTGACTGGATTACTATGGTCCTCTTTACATTCTGCAGGTGTTAGGGTTAATTGAACTCTCTCCCTTTATAATGTTTTTATGGTCAGGAATAGATCTTACCTGTACATCTCCGTGATCTATTTAACCAGTGTCTTAAACATCAGTTTAAAAGAATTGAACTCATCTCTATTTTAAATCTTAGTGGTGGGAGGAATTGCAACAAAAACTGTTATTTTATGAGCAGTGTCACTTCTGACCATGGACCACAGAGAACAAGGCTTCCCACAGCATTGCACTAAAGGCAAGGTATTGGGCAGACAACTCTTGAGCACCTTTTCTGGTTTTGAGTCAAAATTATTTGCTGACTGACCACTGTAGCTATGGTGGACATTATTATGCTTTATGTTTCTGGCATTATAAGTTTTTCATGTTTGCCTCCATATTTCCTGTATTGCTTTCTCAAGGAAGATGTTTGTTCGTTTTTGTATGGATGCTTAAAAGTCAGCATGATGCCTGGCCCTCATCTGCTCATATCTACAAGCAGCCTCCCAGATGGCTAAGGGAGGTAGCAAAGTTGATTTGCAGGTCAGACGGAGACCTAACGGAGGGGCTGTTGCTTTGCAGCTTACATTGATGCAGTTAGAAGAAACAAATACCCAGAAGACAGACCTCCTGAAAGTCATGATCCCTGTGGTTGCTGTAACTGCATGAAGGCGGAAAAGGAAAAGAAGTCTGAGAATGAGTGGAATCAGACCTGGCAGGGCGAGGGGAGTGCCACTTATACTGAGGACCAGCTGCTTGGGGTACAAAGGTGAGCCTGTGATGGGATTAATTGAGTGATTTTATGTAGACTGCCTGGCACAATGTGCTATATACTATTAGTATTGACTGCTATTGTTATTGTTTATTATTATTACTAGAGGCCCAATGCACGAAATTCGTGCAAGAGTAGGCCTTCCTTCCCCCGGCTGCCAGCACCGGCTTCCCTCGGCACCTGGGACCTGGGCTTCCCTTGCAGCCCTGGCTTCGTCCAGAAGGTCATCCAGAAGGACGTCTGGTCTAATTAGCATATTATGCTTTTTTTATTATAGATTATTATTATTATTATTATTGAAGCATAATAGCTTCTTCACCTCAGGGGCAGAACTAGGTGGAAATGGAGTAGTGAGGTGTAATCTGAGGTATCTTTCCTGCTTCTATAAAAGAGGCAGGAAAAATCAACTAGATATAACAGACATCTATATAACATTCTACCCCAAAACAGCAAAATACACTTTCTTCTCAAATATATTTGGAACATTCTCCAGGATAGATCATATGTTGTCATAAAACAAGCCTCAATAAATTTAAAATGATTAAAATCATACAGTGGCCTGCTCGGCCAGTGTGGCTCAGAGATTGAGCTTCAACCTATGAACCAGGAGGTTACAGTTCGACTCACGGTCAGGGCACATGCCTGGGTTGTGGGCTCGATCTCCAGTAGGGGGCCTGCAAAAGGCAGCCGATTGATGATTCTCTCTCATCATTGATGTTTCTTCTCTCTCTTCCTCTCCTTTCTCTGAAATAAATAAAAAAAAATATTTTTAAAAAATAAAAACTTTTTTAAAAAAATCATACAGTGGCCCAGGCTAGGTGGCTCAGTTGGTTGGAGTGTCATCCCATACACCGAAAGGTTGCAGATTCGATTCCCAATCAGGGCACATACCTAGGTTCTATCCTTTGGGTGAGGATAAACAAAAAAATCATACAGTGTATGTTCTCTGAAATCAACAACAGAAGGAAATTTGCAAATATTAAAATTAAACAACATATTCCTAAATAACAAAGATTACAGAAGAAATCACAAGGAAAATCAGAAAATTCTCTGAGATGAATAAAAGTGAAAATACAGCATACTGAAACATAATGGATGTAGCTAAAGCAATACTTAAAAGGAAATTTATATCTGTAAATATATATTTAAATCTCAAATGACTAACCTAATCTTCTACCTTAACAAACTAACAAACAAAAAAAGAAGAGCAAACTAAATCCAAGAAAGAAGACTGAAGGAAACAATAGAGTGGAAATAAATGAAATAGAAGATGGAAAGGCAATAAAGGCAACAAAACCAAAAGTTGTTTGTTTGTTTTTTAAATATCAACAGAATTAACAAACTTTTATGTACACCAGGGATTTTCATCTTTTTCATTTCATGACACACAAACTAATTACTAAAATTTTGTGGCACACCAAAAAATATATATTTTGATCTAACAAAGAATAGGTATAATTTTGATTCATTTACACCGGATGGCTATTGTTGGTTGTTGTCATTTTTTTATTTGACAATCTAAGTCAGGGGTGATAAACATCCAGCCCTTGGGCTGTATAAGGCCCACAAAATCATTTGGTCTGGCCCTGCCGAGGCAACCACAGAGGGACTTGAAATTCAGTAAATCTAGGAGCTTTTTTCATAGCAACATAAATTTATATTGAGTGAATTATGTTAAGTGAATGATTTTATAAATATACAAATGGCCCTTGGCAGAAAAAAAGTTTCCCACCCCTGATCTAAAGAAAAAGAGGTCAGTACCCCTGGTTAGTGGGTATTGCATGTTTTAAAAATTCTTGTGGCACACCAGTTGGAAATCTCTGATCTAGACAAACCAAGAAAAAAAAAAGAGAGAATATTTAAATAACTAAAATCAAGAATGAAAGTGGGTACATCACACTAATCTTACAAAAATAATGATTATAAGAAAGTACTATGAATAATTGTATGCCAACCAATTAGACAACCTAGATGGAATGGACAAATTCCTAGGCAGATACAAACTACTGAAACTGTTTCAGAAGAAACAGAAAATCATATAGACCTATAAGAAAGAGATTGAGTTAATAGTCACAAAACTTAACACTAAGAAAATGCCAGCCAGGATGGCTTCACTGGTAAAATCTACTGAACAATAATTAACTAATCCTTCACAAACTATTACAAAAAAATACATGAGAAGGGGACACTTTCCAACCCACTCTATGAGACTAGTATTACCCTGTAACCAAAACCAGACAAAGACATCACAAGAAATTTAAACTATCAACTAATGTCTCCATGGATATAGATTTCAGAAACATATAAAAACATAAAAAGGATTGTAGACTTGGCCAAGTTGTATTTATCCCAGGAATACAAGGTTGTTTAACATATGAAAATCAATTAATGTAATACACCATATTAATAGAATAAAGGACAAAAGCCACACGATCATTTCAATAGGTGCAGAAAAAGCATTTGACAAAATTTAATACTCTTTCATAATAACAACACTCAACATGGTAGGAATAGAAGGACACTTCCTCAACCTACAAATAATCCACAGCTACCATCTACAAATAATCCACAGCTAACATCATACTTAATGATGAACAATTGGATGCTTTCCAAGATCAGAAACAAGACAAGTATGTTCACTCTAGCCAATTCTATTTAACACTGTGCTAGAGCTCCAAGCCAGGGAAGTTAATCAATAAAAAGAAATAGAAGCCATCTAGATTGGAAAGAAGTAAAACTGAATTCACAGGTGATATGATCTAGTATAGAAAATCCTAAGGAAAACACACACACACACACACACACACACACACACACACACACACACACACGCGAGCTATTAGAACAAATAGGGGGGGATTGGGGGGGTAATGGGATGAGGACACATATGTAATACCTTAATCAATAAAGAAATTTTTTTAAAAAAAGAACAGCCCTAACTGGTTTGGCTCAGTGGATGGAGCGTCGGCCTGCGGACTGAAGGGTCCCAGGTTCAGTTCTGGTCAAGGGCATGTACCTTGGTTGCAGGCACATCCCCAGTAGGGAGTGTGCAGGAGGCAGCTGATGGGTGTTTCTCTCTCATTGATGTTTCTAACTCTTTATCCCTTTCCCTTCCTCTCTGTAAAAAAATCAATAAAATATTTTTTTAATCAATAAAATATATATATATTTTTAAAAAAAGAACAAATAAATGAGTT